TCCAAGCCCCTGGCACATTCCAACCTCCCCACCCACCTCCTCTCTCACTCTTCCCAACATGTGCCCTAATGTGTCATCAATGGAGGCAGTGTGCTATCACCCAAACACTCACCACACTCTTCCCAACTGCCTGAACTGCTCACTACCTGTTTCTACACAATGAAATTTTACCCACCCTTCAAAGCCCACCTCAAGTTCCACCTCCTCCATGAAATCCTCCTCCTTCCTGCCTGTGACTCTTCCTCTTTTGAATGCTCAGCCCTGTGCCCATCTTCCTTCTGGTCTTCATGACGTCTTGCGTCATCACTGGACCATGCCGCCCACACCACCATCATAAGTTCAGCACGCATCTCTGTGACACCCGCAGTGCCCAGCACTGGGTCATGCAAACACCAGAGCCTTGGCAAAGGACATCTATTGGCAAAGTGTTGACCCCAGGACAGGAGAGCCTTCCAGGAAAGTCTCCTGGGGTCTGTGGCCAGCCTTACCCACTGCTGACCGTGTGAGCACCTGCCTTCCCCTCCCCACCATGAATCAGACATCGTGGCTTAGTCTAGGTAAGGGCTGTTTTTATGGCCTGGTGTCTCTAAGCCAGAGCCAAGAGCTCCTTAAAGCCACGTGACACAGAAGGAAGCTGCTCTTTGCACCCTCCAGCTCCAGCTGGGCAAAAAAATATTTTCTTTTCCATTGCATAAGATGCTTCCAAGGGTGACAAGCCCAACACTACTGACAGGAGATAAAAGCCCTGTGGGTGTGAGTAAGGAACAGAGAGAGGCCGCATGTCTGTGTAGGACACATGGGTAGGCAAGTGTGAGCAGGAGCAGCCAGCCGCACGTGGCCCCTCCAACAAGCAACGGAAGGAGAAACAAGGTCTGACTAAAATCAGAGCCAGCAGAATCCACCAGCAAGGCATCTTCATGCTCTCTGCGAATGTGATCTGAGAGGAGTGGATGGTCAGGGTAACATACATGGGGCTAACCATCGCCACCCAGCCCAGCCAGGCCCCCTCTGCAGGATTGCAGCAAGGGGCCCAGAAGAGGAGAGGGGCCAGGCTCTGGAAGCCTCAGGGGGCTATGCAGGTTTGAGAGGCTGGAACGTAGGTCGTGCCATCAGAATGAGCCAGGGTCAAGGCCTCAGGAACCCATGGGGAGGCCCAGCTCATCCCAGAACTCAGAGAAGGAGCCTGCCCCCATCCCCTCACTTCCTCTCCTGTCAAGGCGGGACAGCAACCGCCTTGAAGTTCATACACGGCTGCCTTGGGTCCTTCCAAGAGGCCAGACATCAACAGGCTTGGGAAACTGTACAGAACATCGCCCATGCCTGCTGAGTCCCTGGGGTGGAGGCAGCCAACACAGGCAGGCTTTGTTAAGGCTAATCTTTGGCCTATGAACTGCACCTGCAGGGAGCTAGCCTAAGGAAATCATCCTAATTAAAGAAAATAATCCTTATACATGAGGACAGTCATCACAGTGTAATTTATGATCGTAGGAAAAAAATAGAAAGCGTCTAGGTAGCTGAGAACACAGAAATGATAAAGTGAACTAAGGTTTAGCTACTCAATGGAACCATTCAAAAAATTTTCAAAGACTATGATTACATAGAAAATGGTGATGAGTGACATTAACTGAAAAAGTCATGATACAGATTTACTTGTACCATTTCTTTCAATTTTCAGCTTAAATGAAGGTTGAATTTCATACTTTAATATGTAAGAAAGACTCATGATGCTTTAAATATGTAGGCTAACTTCTACTTTGCCTAAATTTTTAAAAAGCTATGTGCTGGGACGATATTAGAAAATACTCAGAATTAACAAAGCGGTGATGTTTATGTAGTAGTAAATGGATAACTTTTTTCCATTTTAATGCAGTTTTCAGATTTTTTTATGAATGCTACTTTAAAACAGAAAAATAAGTAAACATATTGTAACAGTTTGGGTACAGCATGATAACAGGCTGCAGAAGCTTCCCTGGTGGCTCAGATGGTAAAGAATCTGTCTGCAGTGCAGGAGACCAGGGTTTGATCCCCGGATGGGAAAGAACCCCTGGAAGAGGAAATGGCAACCCACTCCAGTATTCTTGCCTCGGAAATCCCATGGACAGAGAAGTCTGGCAGGCTTCAGTCCACTGGGTTTCGAAGAGTTGGACACGACTGAGTGACTAATGCTAACTAACTGTGTTTTATAATGGGGAGGGGAAGAGAGGCATTATTTGAATACACAGAAATAACCTGGATTTGGGGACAAACACCAGACAGGACTTCCTGAGCTGTAACTCAGGGGAACACAAGCTTTTCTGAACCAGCCCTCCTGAGTGAGACCAAAGGTTTATGATCCACCCACAACCCATTCTCACTTTCCCAGAGAAAAAAGAACACTGAGAAAGAAACAAAATAAACCAAAATAGCAAGAATGTGGCAATTACACAAGAAAAAAACCACCAACAAAGTACAAGACAACAGCAATTTATATGATTGAAAACAATGAAAACAAAAGGCAGCAATAAAGAGACATGACAAACTCAAGACAGCACTAATGGTGCTTTGGAAACAAAGCTCCTTCCGAAAATCACAGGAATTCCAAAGGCTCTGCCCAGTAGGAGTTCTGCAACATTGCCAAGTGTTGGGCAGCAGCCAGAGTGCTGGGCAGAAACACCCAAGCTCTGTGGGGAACGCCAGGACTGCTTGCTTTATTTTATGATTATCAAACTTTAGTAACTCCTAATAATGTGCTTCTTAGGAAGCAGACTTTAGGCGGATGCATAAATGAACCTCTGGCATCATTCACCTAAAAACCCAAGAAAGGAGACTGTTTTTGGGTCAGCACATCTCACACAGCACCATCCCCACCTCCTGACACCGCCCCCCACCCAGGGCCCATGGAGTACGTGGGGGGACACCTACGATCAGACCTACTGCAGGGACAGAGAAACCAGGCCAAAGTCTCTTCTCTGCAGATGTGGGCCCAGGGACAGGGCCAGGCTACTGGGCAGGGCAGTCAGCGAGGCAGAGAGTGGAGCCTGGGTCCCTAATTCTTGTCATCTGCACTTAAGAGTTCACAGCCTGGTCCTCACCAGCTATAAGTACCTGCTCTGTCCTGACCAGCCCCTCCCTCTGAGTGCCCCAAAGCATAACCTGGCCTAGAGTTTAGCACATGATGGGCAGAGACCTACCAGCTGATGAGGGAGGAAGGGAGGGAGGAGGAGGGACAGGAAGGTCAGGCATGCCTCCTCCCAGATCTCCTGCAGTTCTTCATCACATCTTCTGTCAAAGAGTTTCATTCAAGGCCGATCACGCATCCTGGACAACGGGTCTGGGCAGGCCCTTAAGGCCCATCTGGTTGAGAATCTCAAATTGCTGGCTTAACCACAAAACCCTTTGACCAAATAGAATCCTGCTCCCAAGCCTGCTCTACACAGCAATCAAAATGGACTGTGAGGAGTGAGGCGCAGGTGGGGGAGAGAGGATAAGGGTAAAGTCCCTCTTCTCTCTGCTCCCCAGAACTACAAAATCTCCTAGGGAGATTCCTGGAAGCCTGAACTCTTCACTAGGTCAGCTCCTGCAATTCTAGGTGGGGACACTGAGGTCCCAGCAAAGGCACATGGGGTCAGCAGCACAGCTGGGACCAGCACCTATATCTGTCTGCTCCCTAGAATCCAGGAGGGCAGGGCCACAGCTTCCTGCAGGCTGAGATGCCCACAGCACCTGCACAGGGTCTGCCCAGAGAGATCACACCTGCCCACCTGAGGGGAGAGGAGTGACTGCCAGTCCCTCAACTCCTTGGTCAGCTCGCACGTGTGTGACCTCCAGGGCTGTGGGGGGCTAGGGGCTCTGCTGGAGCTGCACCTGGTCTCCCCGCAGCATCACAAATGTCAGCTCTCCTCCCACACCCTTCAGGTGAGTGAGTCCCCTCTCTCTTCAGACCTGCGTTCATGAAGCTCCCTGAGCCCTCACCTGACAGCTAAAAGAACAGGCAGGTGCAGGAACGTGCCGCAGGGAGACAGTCTCAGCCAAGATGGATGGGTTAGATTTTCCTATACTAGGACCACCTGCCAACGGGAACCCGGCCTCAGCCTCTCTCTCCTGAGTTCCTGTTTCACCAGGAATTTGGGCAGTGGTGCTCAGCTCCTCTCCCACTGGGGGCTGCTGGGCGGGAGCAGCAACCTCCCAAGTGGCCGGGCTGTCCCCGGGCTGTTGGGTCCCACCTGGCCTGGTCACAGTTTGGAGAGCTGCTACCCCAAGATCCCAGAACTCCCCTCCTCACCCCTACAAAGCTCAGCTCATGGTTCACTGTGGCTAGAAATAGGGGTGGGCGGGGGGCAATACCCAGGGCTCCAGAATCAGTCATAGACTATTTGGAGAAGAACTCAGAAGCCTGGTATATCCCACAAATGAGACCCCCAAACCCCTTCAAGGCTTCTAGTCCAAGGATAACCTGCTAGCGCTTCCACACACGGCTGACCTATCACAGATCAGACAATCCATCTCTTCTGCCCCACAGGGTCAAAAGCCCAGAAAATACTTTAATTGTGCATCAGAGTTTCAGAAAAAGTCCTCTTAAGTCATAATGTGCACTCCTAACATCTAGGTTTGATAAGTTAAAATCACATAAGTACAGGTTCAAACCAGAAAGATCAGGATCACAGACTGAGATACAGGGTCATTTAGTCCAACCTGCCATTTTACAGATAAAGAAACTGAGTCTCAGAGGTGTGTGCGTGCGCGAGGAGCAGAGTCAGGGCTGGAGTCCGGGTGCCCCAACCCAGAGAGCCCGCACTGCACAGCTCACAATGGGGACTCATGAGTGGGTCCCGGGAGCTATGCGGCCCAGGGCCCTGCCCTGGAGTCTCTGCAGGGCGTACTGTACACAGAGAGCTTGGTGACCCCTGCCCTCTCCACCGGCTGCAGTGGAGCTCCGTCTGCTCTCCGATACAGGGTCCTGGAGCCAGGAAAAGAGATGCAAAGTCACACCCCAGGGCCCGCTGCCCCGCAGCTCAGGTTACCTTTGGGCATGATCTGATGCATGGCCACTGACAGGAAGAAGATGGAGTCGCTGTAGTAGGTCCCAGAGCCGGCACTGAAGTGCTTCTGCATAGCCTCCACGACGGGGAAGAGCTTGTCCGTCAGCACGCCAACATCGTGGAAGACGACCTGTAGGAGGACACAGGCAACGGCAAGAGTTAGCAGCCCAGGCACGGACCCAGCACGCACACGGGCCGTGGACAGGACAGATATGGCCTCTCCAGGGCCCACGAGAGAGGGACATGGCACCCCTAAGGCCTAGGGAAATGGGGAGCAGTGGGGAGTCAGCAGAGTGCAGCAGTGGGGATGGGAACACCAAGTGTGAGGGTGTGTAGGCAGACATGTGAGGCACAGTGGAAGAGGAGTGGGAGCCAGGAAATGGGAGCTGCCCCCAGTCTGCTTCTGCTTCTGAACCTCAAACTGGGCCACACTGGAGGAAGCTCTGTGCCCAGAGACTGGAAACCAAGTTAATGGAACTGGTCATGAAGTGAGGACCCTCAGCAAGTCTGGGGTCCTGGCACTGGCTCCAGCATTACCTGGAGGCCATTACATATGTTCTGCATTGCAGTCAGACGTACCACCTCCCTGCCCAGCAGTGTGACAGGGAGAGGGTCTGGCCACTAGAAAATGAAATCTGAAAAATGCCTGGAGATGCAGCCAACTCATCCATTGACTCAACCACCATTTCTTAACGGTCCCAGACACTCTGGAGGTGCTGACAGAGGTATCAGGAGAAACCAGGCACCACTTTCCTCAAATCAAGTAGAGTCTAGAGATGTCACCAGCGGCTCTGTCACAGAGCTCTGCAGTTTATGAAACTCTCATACACACAAAGATCCCCACGACAACCTGGCATTCAGCAGGCAGACATCCAAGCTACAACTGAGAAAGTAGGTACTCAGAGAGGTTACACTCGTCCAAGACCACAGAGCTAACAACTGGCAGAGCCAGAACTGAACCCTGGCTTCCAGACTCCAAGTCTAATGCTCTTTCCACTCCACACACCTCCTCTTTTCCTTAACAGTGACCAACAGAGGAAAACATCAGCAAGATCAGCAATTAAAGGAGACATGAGAGCCTCCTGAGTCGGTTTCCCTTGCTTGACATTATTCCAGATGATCAGACCATCCCACAGAGAGCCCCAGCCCCACATGAGATACCAGATTACCATGTACTCAGCTCACATACGTCTTGCAAGTCTTCCCTGTTGCTGTGTGTGCCCCGCAACATCCAGCACATTCCACTGCACACAAGAGGAGCCCAATAAATGTACCCAAGCCGCAGCCCAGATGTCCCTCCTCCTCCTCCTTCAACCCTCCCATGAGATCTGCTGATGACCTTCCAACTCCATCTTCCCTGGCAGCTAAGAAGACAGGACGAGACTGCGAGGTAGCCACCACCTCGATTCCAGGGTCAAGGACCTGCCTAAACAGGGTGCCGACCATGAAAGGAGGAGCCACACGAGGCCCCTGTCTGGCTAGCTGACACTGTCAGCAGCCCTGCTGCAGGAAAAATGACAGATGTGGGCAGTGCCCAAGAAGTCCCCAAGCAGGTAGGCTCCATTCTGTAACTTACCTCTGCCCTTGCCCTCCACCTGCCCAGGTTCCTCCCGGGGCAGCCCTAGGTGCCACCGCCCAAGCCTGCAGCCCCAGAGCTGTCAGTGTTCAGACAGCTAGAACAAGTACCTCACGGCTCACAGAGGCCAGCTGTCCCATCTGCTTCCCCCTACTTTAGGTTCTGCTTTTGGCCAGAAATCTGTTTTTGTCTTAACTCACTCTAAGTGTTTCCTTTTTATTCTCAGATCCACTTAAATTTCTAAAACACTATTAAACAAAAAAAATCCTTTATGCTGTGTTAGCCCTCATGATTCCCTATCTGTAAGCCTTTAAATTTTTTATCTCTTCATAAAAGTCTTTTTACATCTTGTCATTTGTCTCCTAATGCACTTTTTCTGACTTTTTTTTCCTTTGACTTTTTCCCCTTCTGTAACCTCTCAACCTGGGCTTCCTTGGTAGCTCAGCTAGTAAAGAATACACCTGCAATGCAGGAGACCTGGGTTCCAGCCCTGGGTTGGGAAGATCCCCTGGAGAAGGGAACGGCTACCCACTCCAGTATTCTGGCCTGGAGAATTCCACGGACTGTATAGTCCATGGGGTCGCAAAGAGTCAGACACGACTGAACGACTTTCACTTTCGTTTCCAACCTGGGATGTGGAATCCAGACCAGTTCTGCTGTTTCTCAACACAGGTGCCAAACTATGGTTTTGGCTTTGGCAACCCCACACACGTTGCTCCCCTGACATCCTGGCTGCAGGGGGACCACAAACCCCACAGGCTTCCCCACCTCCTGTCTTGCGCCCTCCAGACCAGCCTCTGTTGTAAGGCAAGATGAGTTTTCCAAATTTGCAAATTCATTTCTCTTCCTCTTTGGCTTCAAAACTTCCACTGGCTCCTCAGAGCCTTGGGTCACAGCCCGAACGCCCCAGCAAGGCCCCACACTAGTGGCTCCAGCGGCCCCTCAGCCCTCCCCTCCCTGAGCACTGAGGGGAATTGAACCAGGCAGTCTCCAACCTGCCCACCACACCTTGGTGTCCTGTGTGTCTTCCACTCTTGCTCAGACATGCACTTCTAGCCTCCCCGCGGCTTCCCACGATGCATCAGGCTGTCCTGAGCACCCTGTGTCACAAGGAGGGAGGCTCCACTTCCCCGTCTGTCTCCTCTGCAGGTCCTGCTTCTGCACTGGCTGGATGGGGCACTCCTGGAGGCCAGAAGCCGGGACTGCTCGGGGCCTTGGGAAAGCCCCAGGCCATCAGGACAGGCTCGCTGAACTCAATGAGCTGCATTCTACGCAAGCTACTAGACCTCTCGGAGTTCGAGTGGGCCTTAGTTTCTTCATGGATAACACAGGAATGACAGACACCTCCCCTCCTGTAAGGACCACCTGGGATGAGCAGATAAAACACCTAGCTCAGGGCCTGCCACGCTGCACTTCATCCAAAGTGTTAGCATTCTGCACACGTGCACACACACAGACACAGCCCCTCCTTGGCCCCCTGAGCTTCCTCTGTGATAGCATACTACACACACACACACATGCACGCATACACACGCACACAGGTGCACATGCGCACACACACATGCATGCGCACACGTACACACACGCGCATACCCGGCCCCTCCTTGGTCCCCTGAACTCCCTCTGTGATAGCATACTACACACACGTGTGCACACACACACGCACACACATGCACACATATACACGTGCACACACGCACATGCATGCACATACCTGGCCCCTCCTTGGTCCCCTGAGCTTCCTCTGTGATAGCATACTACACACACACACACACACACACACACACACACACATGCATGCACACACACGCACACACGTGCACACACGTGCACACACACACGCACACACACGGCCCCTCCTTGGTCCCCTGAGCTTCCTCTGTGATAGCATACTACACACACGTGCGTGCGCGCACACACATGCACACATACACATGTGCACACACGCACACACATGCACATACCCGGCCCCTCCTTGGTCCCGAGCTTCCTCTGTGATAGCATACTACACACGCGCGCACACACACCCATGCACACACACATGCACACACACACACACACCTGGCCCCTCCTTGGTCCCCTGAACTCCCTCTGCTCACAGATCAGCCTTCACTCATGAGCCGGCTTTTCCCTCTGAGCCTCATTACACCTCTAACAACTGCTAGAAACTGGAATTTGACAAGAAGCTGGAAGCTGACGAGGGCCCTCAGAAATGGAAGCCTCTGCATTCATTAAAAAGGAAGAGAAAAAAATGGATGTGTACCCACACACACTCAGAACAGGGTCCACCATGGCCAAACCATGGGAGAGAGACAGCGAGCGGCAGCCAGCTCCCTCCCCTCCCCAGGCCCCCATCTCACCCCAAAGCTTCACAGGAGACAATTACATCCCATCAGCATTAATAGATTTATGAGGACAAACTGTACTGGGTACATTGCTCCAAACGCTGTACAGAGGAGCCTGCTCCAATGAATATTTCATATAATAAATCTACTTAAAGATAAATTAATATGTTCCACAGTACACTTTCTGCAGCAAGAAGCAAAGCACAGACACTGCAAGCGTGAATCAAAGCACCAGGCCTGCCAATATCTCAAACAGGTTTCGAAACTGTGGTCTCCTGAGGGCAGGCTTAGAGTCTGGCACTCTCTGAAGCCCCCAGCCCAGCCAGGGGCTAGTGCCTCACAGCGGTGATCAAAGCAAGAGTGATGGAAGAGAGAAAAAAAGAGGGAGGGGCAGAGAACATGCTACCCCTCCTTCTGTCCCTCCTTTTCAGATCCCCTACTTCAGGGGCTGCAAGGAGAAATACCACATAACCCAAAAACCCAGGGCCACAAGGTGACTCCTATACTAAAGGCAGCTGACCCATGAGAAGATCCAAGATGATGGTTTACAGCAACTGACTATAGTTTTTTTAGGGATGTAGATTAAAAAGCCAAATCTTATGTGCAACTTTTATTAATTTATGTATGTGAAAGTGAAGTCGCTCAGTCGTGTCTGATTCTTTACAACCCCATGAACTATAGCCCACTAGGTTCCTTGGTCCATGGGATTTTCCAGGCATGAATACTGGAGTGGGTTGCCATTTCCTTCTCCAGGAGATCTTCCCGACCAAGGGATCAAACCCAGGTCTCCCGCATTGTAGGCAGATGCTTTACTGTCTGAGCTACCAGCAAAGCCCAATTTATGTATATCTATTTTAAATTATAAAAATCTTATTCATGATTATTTCCATCTACTACACACCTTACAAACTGAATTTTTTCAAACCCTTCATGTGCTCCTCAACACGAATGTCTTTACCAACCCCAGAGTCAAGTTGAGTCATTCAGAGCAGTTTTCCAGAACACATCATCCAATCATCCATTCAAGATGTTTCAGATACAAGCCCCTTATAAATCTGTGTGGGATGTTGTCACCAGAAATGGCATCTATCCCAACCCTGGAGAACCCATGCCCATACCATTAAGGCAGTTGGTTTTTTCACCAGCCTATAACCAGATATTTGTAGCCACTTTATTTTTTTTTTTTTTTTAATTTATTTATTTATTTAT